ACATCAGATTCTAGCTTCTTGAGTTCACCCGTACACTCGTGCTCTTTCTGGCTGTAGCTATTCTCCAAGTTTACTTCTTCTTTTTCTTTGTCTTTCACGTTCAGTAACTCATTTTCATCAGCAAGCATCCTTAGCTTAGCTTCCTTATCCATTAATCGTTCATGCAAAGCCTCTCTTTCAGCTTTTGTTCTCTTCAGTTCTTCACCTAACTCAGTCTCTCTCTGCGCATATCCGGATTTTACTACCTCGACTTGTTCATAAGCTGTTCTGATCTGCAACGTGCTCTGGATATACTCTTCGTGGTACCTTCTCTCAGTTACTTCCACTGCAGATTTCAATTGGCTAATTTCATTCCTTGCGGCATTTATCTCTTCTTTGAGCTCTTCCACTGATGCTGAGTCCCCACTGCTGTTTCCTCGGGCTTCATCTTCTTCCTCGAGCTGTCTCACAAGTTGCTCTAGTGACTTTACCTCGGATTTGGACTGCTCTAGCTCGGTTGTAAGGGAGTTACAAGCTTCAGACATCTTCATCCCATCTGAACGTAGCATCTCAAGCGTCAAATTCGCTATCTCTAATTGCTTTTCAGTTCCTGACACAACTTCATGTGCACGAGCTTCCCCTTCTTTTGCATCATACAGCTCGCCTCTGAGTTTCTCGACAAGAGACACGGTCTCGTTGAGTTCCATCCTCAAGTTCTCAACAGAGTCAGATTCAGACAGCTGAGCTTTCAGTTTCTGGACCTCGTTCATGGCAGAAGCTAGAGCAGCGGAATCCATTGCGTGTTGTCTCTGCATTGCTTCGAGTTCAGACTGCCACGCTTTGTCTCGTTCCTGAGAGAGCTTACGAAGCTCATCGATTCTTGAATCCTCAGAGGCATTGATCTCCATTAAGTGCTGTTTTGTCTCTTCTGCTTCATCTTGAGCTTCTTTCTTCAGAGCTTCTGAAGTAGTTAGTTGTTCCTTTGCCTTCTTTAGCTCCTCTTGCAGCTGAGATATCTGAGATGCCACTTCCGGTGTTCTCCCTGTCCGCTTCTTCTGAATCTTGCATATAAAAACAACGAATATAAACAACTCAATTACGATCAAAAGCATCACACAATCCATTTTCACATGTCAAGCACAAGATTAGAAGCTCTAGCGCGAGCTGACCCATTTCCCACTAAGAAACTGGCAATGATTTGACCCCTTCAGCTTCTCAAACCAGTTGTTATAAAGAGTCCAGAATCAATATTTTTCAACCGTTGGCTTAGTTCTTGCAAGAAACCATAAATAGACAGACTTGAAACACCCACGAGTACTTAGCAGCACGCTGATTGAATCAACAACACAAACTAGTTCTTACGAAACGTGGAAATCTGATCCCAGTATGAGCCAATCATAGAGGCACTGATCAACAAAAAGCATTGTGCAAAGCTACTAGTACCTCATTTACAGGGGTTCTTGGAGAACGGCGATCAACAACTACTTTTGGGCTCTGTGTTTTCGGTGTCCTGATTTTCGGGTTGGGAGACGAAACAGAGTCAGTTTCTCCGGTCTTCAGCTTACGAGCAGTTTTAGGAGTTGCTGCAGGAGATTTCTTCTGAGGCACTTCCAACGATCCCGGCCTATCATAATAACAATCACGCTAAAACGTAACCAAACAAACGAAAGAAGCAAGTACACAAAGAATCAAGAACCACTAAAATACAGCGCTAAGAAACACTGAAACTGATCAAGACTTTAAAACCACAACCAACAATCCAATGACCATATCAAAGAAAGACACTAAAAGAAAACAGAGAAAGCTTTGGACAAGAGTGAGGATTATCACCTAGGTTTTGGGGTCTGCATTGCTTGTGATTAGGGTTTTAAAAACACTCCCTTCTTTGAACAAGAACCTGGACAAACAGAACATGAAGAGAAACTGTGAATGTAAGAAACACAAAATCGGTATTATAAGATTATCATAAGCATATACAACAAACTCAACAGAAGTACAGAGCTTAAGCAACTGTACAAAAACAAAAACCCTAACAAACTAAACCAGACAAAATACATTAGCTTCAAAGAGACTCCATTTTTTTTTTAAACTACTACCACTACCACCAAACCAAGGCAACAACAAGACAAACATAAAAAAAGAAACTGTTCATCAATGTGATTCAATCTAATCACAAAGATAAACTCAATTACAAGCAAAGAAAGTACATTAATATTCCCACATAATCTTTTTAGTTGTCAAGTCATCAATTTTGGAACTTTTTGGGGGAGAAAAATATAAATTTCTGTCATTTAGTTAACATGGGTTCTGGTTTTATTAGGTGGATCTTCCCCAAATTAGAAAAAATAAAAATAATAAACCAAGTAAGAAATTTGATTTTAAGCCTAGAACAAGATTTTTTTTTTTTTTCAGAACATTAAATTAAATATTTTGAAAACCCCTTTCTTTATAAACAACAGAAACGCTTTGCTTTTTCCCTGGAAAATTATTATTAAAAGTTTATGGCTGAATCTTCAAGCTAACAACAACCCCCAAAAGAGAGTAAATGTAGCAATTTAATCCAAAACCCTAAATTGTTTACAGATTCTACAGCGTAATAATGCATAAGTAACTGATTAAAACCCAGAAACATAGGGAAGATTTTAGGTTTTTCAAACACATCAAAAGAAAAACTTTAAACAAAAATGGTAAAAACCCAATTAAAAAGAAGTGGTGTTAATTAAATGTTCTTCACCTGCAAACTGTGGCTTAAGCTTCCTCTTTTGGTCTGAAATGTGTTGAGAACAGAGAGAGAGATCGGAGATTGAAGAAAATGGAGAAAAAAAAAAAGAAGGACCCTTTAGACCAATTGAGATTCGGACATGGTCTTGTTCGTCTTCCTCTCTCTTTGTCCCTAGTGTTGTTCTCTCACTGACTCTGCTCGTTTCCCAAGTCTTTTTTCTTTTTCCAGTGAACTGTCTATTTGTTTTCATTAATATCCAGAAAGAGAAAAAGAGACTATGAGCAAAATAGAGAATTGGGAAATCATGATTTTACCCCGACACCTTTCGGTTTATGTCAAAATAGTCCCTGTTTTATTTACCTTTGCTTTTTTTGACCATGACTGATATTCGGTATCTAGAAATAGTATTCTTAGTTACATATAGACAAAATCCAAAATTGATAACAAAGAGTAAATAATATGTTCATAATTGATAGCCAAAAGTAAACATCATGTTACCAAATATGTAGGTACATTATTGAAAATATTCTAAATCAGTAGTTTAATTTTATCTGAAAAATGCAATTTACTAGTATTTAAATACGGTAAGATTACGGATATCTGAAATGATTATGAATCGAATTAATGTCTAAAATTATTATAAAACAAATTGTAAACTAAAATTGTGGAATGGTTTTCATGTTTGGAATGGTACCCACATTAATAGTAATCAACGGCTTTCAAACCTATATTTTACACCATTTCATGTTAACGTGCGTTAATGACACTGCTTCTTTAATTAATGCTGGTTATTACTAGTTGTGCTGTTCTTTAGTTTTAAAGGTTGATATGCCTACACAAAGATAGCCTAATTAACGTCAAAAATGATTTTAAGAAAATCACTATTATTTGTTCTAACATGTTAACCATTCAAAGTCTCATGAGAATGAACCTTCAAACCTCTTTAACTCTAACTTAGTAGGGTTGATTACACTATCGGACACCGGACACTTTATTAAACTTTTATTTCAAAAGAGACACTTTTTGACCAAGAGACAATTTGTGTTGTTATTGTTAAGAACTCTGACCAAAATACTCCTATTTACATTTTAAAAAATACGCGTGAACAAATTTTATGTGGACAAGTTGTAAATAAATAATGCACGTGGACATAATTGATGGAAGAAACTATTAACATGTACGAAAACATGAATGGTGGACATGCTATTGTGGACATGATAATAATTTTTAGATAATTATAAATTAACATACGGTTATTATTCATTTTACTTATACAATTGTATGTTAACTTGTCTATAGTAACCCACAAATTAATAACCATGATCATATAATTTTTACTAGTCTATAAGTGTTTAGGATAATTGTCCACTAAAACCTTTCCACTAAAACCAATCCATGTTTACAATACTACTAAATTTCTGTGGTTTTAAGCTCTACCTGCAATTTA